CCAAGGTGGACCTTGGGGACAGAAGGGGACATGTCCCCTTTGTCATCACACTCCCCCCCCCTCTGGTGGCCAGCTTGACGGTGGCTCGTGAACCCAATGAGGGTTGAATGACCCGTTGATGTTCTTCAACCCAACAAGGGTTGGCCAAATCGTTCATAGTTGGCCAACTCAACACCAGCCGGCCAACCCAAGGGCAGTTGAACAACCCATTGATGTTCTTCAACCCAACAAGGGTTGGCCAAATCGTTCAGAGTTGGCCAACTCAACACCAGCCGGCCAACCCAAGGGCAGTTGAACGACCCGTTGATGTTCTTCAACCCAACAAGGGTTGGCCAAATCGTTCAGAGTTGGCCAACTCAACACCAGCCGGCCAACCCAAGGGCAGTTGAACGACCCGTTGATGTTCTTCAACCCAACAAGGGTTGGCCAAATCGTTCAGAGTTGGCCAACTCAACACCAGCCGGCCAACCCAAGGGCAGTTGAACGACCCGTTGATGTTCTTCAACCCAACAAGGGTTGGCCAAATCGTTCAGAGTTGGCCAACTCAACACCAGCCGGCCAACCCAAGGGCAGTTGAACGACCCGTTGATGTTCTTCAACCCAACAAGGGTTGGCCAAATCGTTCAGAGTTGGCCAACTCAACACCAGCCGGCCAACCCAAGGGCAGTTGAACGACCCGTTGATGTTCTTCAACCCAACAAGGGTTGGCCAACTCAAGTAGAGATTTGGACAACCTACTGGAGTTGGTCACCCACCGCAATGATGGTGGAACAACTCAAGGGTTGGACAGCCCAAGGTCATGGGGTGGTTAACCCAGTTGTAGCTTATCAACCCCAAAAAGGTTGACCAAACCAGTTGGAGGTGACCAATCCAATGGCAGTTGGCCAATGGCAGCGATGTTTGGCCAACCCAATGACGGCTGGCCAACCCAATGGCGGTTGGCCAACCCAGTGATGGCTGGCCAACCCAATGGTGGCTGGCCAACCCAGTGATGGTTGGCCAACCCAATGATGGTTGGCCAATCCAGTGATGTTTGGCCAACCCAATGATGGTTGGCCAACCCAATGGTGGCTGGCCAACCCAGTGATGGTTGGCCAACCCAATGATGGTTGGCCAATCCAGTGATGTTTGGAACGATGGCTGGCCAACCCAACAACGGTTAGCCAACCCAAAGAGGTCACCCAACCCAGACAGGTCACCCAATCCAAAGAGATCCAACAACGGTGGGTCAAGCCACAAGGAGTTGGCCAACCCAAGAAGGGTTGAGGTGACCCAATGGAGAACGACGCCTTCACACCGCATCTTTCCATAGGGCGACTCCGGAGGACCTCTGGTTTGCAACGGGACCCTCCAAAACGGTTAGCCAACCCAAAGAGGTCACCCAACCCAGACAGGTCACCCAATCCAAAGAGATCCAACAACGGTGGGTCAAGCCACAAGGAGTTGGCCAACCCAAGAAGGGTTGAGGTGACCCAATGGAGAACGACGCCTTCACACCGCATCTTTCCATAGGGCGACTCCGGAGGACCTCTGGTTTGCAACGGGACCCTCCAAGGTATCGTGTCCTGGGGCATGGAGAAATGTGGGCAACCCAAGAGACCTGGTGTCTACACCAAGGTCTGTAGATACGCCCAGTGGATCCAGAAGACCATGAAGGACAACCAGTGACACTCCACCAACCTCCAAGTGTCCAGGGAGAGGTCAGAGGACCACGTCCACGCTACCGCTGCTCACCGGGGGCAGGAACGCTGGGACAACAGAGGTTTTGACGAGGTTGTGGGTAAAGCCAGGGTCACCTGGTGAAGCTGGTGAGAGGGTGGGGTGGGAAGGCACGAGAAATTAAAACGTTGTGATGTTTGGTGGGAAATTTTGTCCTTTCAAGCTGTCCTCCGTCCCCCCCCCCCGCAAAAAAAAAAAATGAATCCCAAACATCACTTCTCCTCCAGGGTCATCCACAGGCCCAGTTGTCCAATCACGGCCACGGGCTTCGTTTTGAGGTCAGATCTTTCCCATCGTCCCCAAAACACGTGACTTTCCAGGAGAAGAAGTGGACTTTATTTGAAGAGAAACCTCGTTTCCTTCACTCGCGCTCACCCGTCATCTCCCAAGGACCAAGACCTGGAGCCGCGGTCGCCTTTCGATGGCGCTGAGGACGTGGAGTGCTGGTGGACAAGTCCTCCAACCCAAATGGAGTTGGTCAACTCAACAAGGGTAACCAACCAAAGGTGGTTGCCCAATTCAATCACTGCTGGTCATCCAGCACTGGCCTATCCAATAGGAGATGCCCAATGGGAATGAAGAACCCAAAGAGTATCAGCCAAGGCAACAAGGGTCACCCAACCGATGAGGGTCAGCCACACAATGATGGTTGGTCAACCCAACAAGGGTCAGCCAAGCTGGTGATGGTTGGCTAACCCAAGGGAGTTGGTCAAGCCAGTGAGGGTCACCCAACCAATGATGGTTGGCCAACCCAACAAGGGTCAGCCAAGCTGGTGATGGTTGGCTAACCCAAGGGAGTTGGTCAACCAATGATGGTTGGCCAACCCAACAAGGGTCAACCAAGCTGGCGATGGTTGGCTAACCCAAGGGAGTTGGTCAAGCCAATGAGGGTCACCCAACCAATGGGGGTTGGCCAACCTAACAAGGGTCAGCCAAGATGCCACCTCCTCCTCTGAGGAGGACTCAGGACTCCTGGTGGCACTGACGTTGGTGGCATGGCCACAACGGGGACTTCCCTTTGGAGGTTGGAGGTTGCCCAGCTGGAAGGTGACATCTTGGCTGACCCTTGTTGGGTTGGCCAACTGTCATTGGTTGGTTGACCCTCAGTGGGTTGTCCAACTCCCTTGGCTTGTGGCCGTCAAGCCTTGAGCTTCAAAGAGAAGATGGGGCCACGGAAGCCAGGCTGTCCAGCCTGCCCATCCCGAACTGGGGAAACGCCATTGGCTGGGCTCTTGCCAAGACC